CAGGGTTTACTGGGTTGCTGATAAGGAACTTAAATTAAGTTACTATATTGGGGAAACCCTTTTATTTACTATATATACCCATTATGGTAGCTTAATTTAAGTTCCTTAACAGCAACCCAGTTTAGGGCTAAGCAATGCTTTGTAAAGGGAGGTCTGGAATGATTGAAGGTAGAACCAGGGTTTAGGGAGAAGCACAGCTGGCCATTCTGCCATGTGTGGGGTTATGGACTTATGGAAAGCTTCTTGGGGGGGGGAGGTCAAGTAGACAAGGCTTCTGTTGTAAGTTCTGTTGGGGGAACCAGGCCTATTTGCCACGCTAAAGGATGTTGGGCAGCTTTTTAAAGAATTTAGGGTTTATAGTCCCCTTAAGNNNTGGCTTTGGGCGTATTATAATAAGATCCCCATATACCCCATATTCTATCTACTTAAGGGGGGACTATATGGTTACATTTCAACATATAGCAGTTCTACTAGGTACCCAGAAAAACGTCTCAATGCATAGAACGCTGTGGGTTGCCAGTCCTCTGGCAGGCAAGCAGCATCCCCGCCCCGACGGCGGCGCAGCCCAATGTTGAGACAACAGCGCAGCCCACAGGCAAGGTGGGAAGCCCCCCGAAGCATACATAAGGTTCTGTGCAGTTGTATAGGGATGTGAGGGAACATGGTGGGGTTTCAAGAATTCGGGGTCTCTTTTGTTTTAGGGGCACATGTCATCATGAACATGGTATACGGGCTCTACATTGGCCCCCAATTTATGCAAACTCCGACACGTAACCTGAAAGGTCCTCGAAGCATTTATCGCACATTCAGGTTGTTGAGACTCTGAATGCACCCAAGCCGTTTGGTTTCCAGGTCTCAATTGTGGAAGGCCTTCAGCAAGGTTGGCTAAAAGAGGGAGAGGTGGTTGAGCAGGGTTGAAGCTTAACAATGACTTTCTAGCACAAGCAGAGTTGGCCGCTACTGGAGCGCAACAGGCCTCACAACTTCTGATAGTGAGTTTCTTCATGACTCGAAGCATTCGTCCGCAAGCTCACGGCGGCAATCGTTGAGCCTTGTGTAAACGAATGCGGTTGTCCTTGGGCTAGGGTGTCCCCGAGATTTACAAGAGGTAGTGGCATCCGAATTAGCGTCCGCAACAGTCACAATTAAAGTGCATCAAAGAGCTGACAATTTCGCTGCCATAGGTAGCATCTGCAGGTGGCGCGGTCACAGCAATACGGACACATGCGGGCGTCAAGCCTCGATAGTGAACTGACATGGAGAAGACACAGAGAAAACCTGGTGATGCCTGGTTAATTACTGCTGAAACCCAACCCCCATACCGATCCTCCTAACATCTCCTAAACCTCCTAACTCACAGCCCCACCAGGTGGAGATGCATCACCTCAGCAGGCAGCAGCAGGCAGGGAGGGAACCGTTTTGGATGCGTGGCCCAACCTTACCCCCCTCCGCTGCAGCTAAACGAAGTATTACGTTAGATGAGGATCTTCTAGCCCCCAATACAGAGTAAGATCATATCATCCTTTTTGTATGTTTTTGTGAGAACGACGCAACACTACTTGGCTCAACTGCCCAACTCACCTCGGATTGTTTTCAGGTGAAAGAAGCATTGAGAGGTCCTTGGGCTACAATCTACGAAGCTAGCAGCTTAAAGCGAACCAGGCCGAAAAGCCAGTTTTTTGAGGGTCCAAGTGGAGTCCAAGGACCCACATATCAGGGCTTCAGGTCCCAAAAGCCATTCAGACGATGGTATTTGGACCCTAAAACCCCAGAATTGGAGTCCTTGGACCCTTAGGGGTTTCTACAAAAGGGCTCGGATTTTACATGCTTTTGGGTCACAGGCTTGCCTTAAGCCAGAGTCATGGATACGCGAAGAACTGAGACCATGTGAAAACGCCATGTGAAAACGAAGGCTACCACATAACATGGTATTTTCCATCAGGGGCTATATAGGGGGGTAGTACAGGGCTGATATAAGGTTAACATCAGAGTCATATAGGGGTTGTGTTTTGACACTTTGAAGACCATGTGGGGGCTTCCGAAAAAGTAGGAGTCTGTACTTTTGAGAGTTCCCAGAGCAAGGGTCGTAGTACGATGGGGATCCCCCGAGTTTAGGGTTTAGGGTTTTTCTTTGAGGTCCCATATACACGATGCATTTGTGCAGCAGAACCCTAGACTCAGACCCTTGACCCTAAACCGTTAACCCCGGGCACTTAACACCTTCAAACCCATGACACCCAAACCGAAAACCCTAGTCCAAGTGAGTAGCATTCTATTTGGGGATACTGTGGTACCCAATATAGTGTGCTTATGTCCTCTTTTTGGGGATAGCATCTCACTTAAAGAGTAGAATCTTACTAGGCTCAAGCACCCAAGAAAAGCATTACGCAGGTGAAGATGCCGAGAGTCATGGCATCGCCGAGGCCAGTCCAGTTGCAACCAGCACTCAGGACCAAGGGTTTCGGGCTCAGGGCCTGTACAGGGTTTAGGTTTAGGTTTTTGTTAAAAAGCGTTTAGGGCCGGGGATAGATGGGATCGAGGATTTAGGTGTTGAGGGCTTAAGGATCTAGGGATCCAGGGTTTCGGGCTCATAGAGGATTACCTGGAGATCCTGGTGACCGATAAAACTGTCACTGCAAGTCTGGTGCTGCTTTTGGGGTTCAAAACAAGCACTGCCAAAAGTGATCATTTTTGGGGGTAGATACACCCCACATGTAAATCAGGCGCTGTAGCTTGGGGTCTGTTTCTGGAGGGCCTGAACCCAAATGGAACCCCTTTAAAAACCATGTATACCTAACCCCATCTCAATCAAAGCCTGTCTTTCCACTCCTGCGGGCGCTCGCTGGTGATGTGGACTGGATGGAGGACCGACTGCGTGTGCTCTTAACTTTAGAACTGTATCCATACATACATTGGGGGATCGAACTAAGACGGTCACATCCTACCAGTGCATTCGCAATTGAACACAATAGGCCTCAATGGTTCTTCTATGCAATGTCCTCGAGTGAACAGTACGGGAAGCAGACGCTATGCGACCAACGAAGTCCTCGTCCATCTGGGTAGACATAGATATTGGGTTAAGCGAAGGGATGTCATCCTTTTCTTCCAGCTCGAGGGTATACAGGATTTCTGCAAAAAAAGTGGAACTTCGTTTGATATTTCCACCTCGTCATGCTCCATCCAAAGGCTATGTTGGCAAGCTGTTGGAAGTACTGCAAAACTCTCTTTCCATACAACAGTGCAGCAGCCCTTTCCGAGTCCAGTAGGAAGATCCCACTTTGAAGTAGGGTTCGCATGAACCTGTTGGCAGATTGGACCACCTTGAGAATGAGGCCCATGTAGTGTTGATTCTCTGGTTCGAGGCCCTCGCTTGTGGTCCCCAGCTTAGCTCCCAAGTACGTGCAGAGGGTAGCTGTATCAGCTCCTTTGAACCAAGACCTGGGTCATCACTGTTTAGGTGGTTATGCAAATATTTGTAGGGACCTCTATAAATGTTTTTCCCCAACTCAAAACGCAAACCATGTAGCTGAGAATCGCTGTAGGGAAACTGCTTGCCCGCTTTATGGCCAACAAATCCGCCGTCAAAGCAATCATGTGAAGCTGCAAGTGGTGTTGGCGGCAGTATCCAGAAACATCATCATAAACATGTTTCATGAACTTGTCCAGGGAGAGATTCCCAAAAACCTTCAAGTCGTAGCAGGATACCTTCCAAACCAAAAAACACGTGGCCCATACACGCACGTTTACAGAACTTATCCCAAACCCTGTTAAAGGTTTAAACATATTTAAAAAAACACTTCCCACAGGCTTCTGAGCTGCTATAGCATTTGCTGCAATATCACCAAAGACCCCCTTCAAGAGAATATGGAAGAGATCCAACTTGAAAAAGGCAGCCTTCCGGGATGGGCTGTGCGGGATAGAGTTCAGCAAGCTGGGCTGTTGCGTCCAAGGAAGAGGCACATCTCGCCGCATTTCTGTCATGACTTCAAAGTCCATTTCGTGATAGCTGAAGTTTTCCTGGCCTGCTCTGCACAAGTGGCAAATTCCTGCACCTTTACCACTCATTGTGTCCCGCATGTAGTTCCTTTGAAGGCCCCCTAGTTTCACAAGGGCTGCGAGGTCTCCCTTCAATCCCAAACAGATCAGAAAGATCTTGTCAGTCCAGGAAACACCATTAACAGAATTTCCTCGTGGAAACAATTGCCGATATCCTTTGCAAAGAAGCTCACCAACTTGTGCAATGGCTCCTGGTGGTTTTTTTTGCCTGCGTAAACTTTTCCAGATAAAACTGAATAAAGGAATCGCGTCGTTACACTGACCCCAGACATGTTGACATCCTCCGCTCTTTTGCTGCCACGTCCAAGAATCGGCTGAAACTGGAGCACCATCAAAGCTTTTTTCTTTTGGGATGTACCCTCGTCTGCAAAAATCCAGATTGGGATACAGAGGCTCAGGTTTCTCTTGTGCACTTTGAAGATGGGGTGATCGTCTTCAACCAAACGCCAAAGGTCCCAAAACTCCTTGTAATCAACTCCCGTGTGACCACAAAAAAGTAGATCCAGCTTGCCTTCATGAGCTAGCAATGAAATGAAATCCCTGGGCCTGAGCACCGGATGTTGCTGCGTTGCAGTAGTTCCCAAGCTAACGGAAGTCATGGGGATCCGCGCTGTGAGATTGAATCGTGCCAAAAGGTCATTCAATTTGTGTTCGTGCCCAGTCTCCTTCAAACGAGTGGCTTCCTTTAAGAATTCTCGGCTGGGAATATTTGTCGATTCAGCGAAATGTGCGATCTCACTCCAGAAGCCAGCTGCCATCTCGCAGGCATGCGATGCAGCTACCTTAAAGAATGTGTTGTAGGTATAGGGGGCAATCAATATAGGCTGGGTGGTTCAGAAGTTTGGGCTTACAAAAGAAAACAATCAAACAGCCTTATAGATGTGGGTAGCAACCCTTCTTTTACACATTGGATGAGAGAATTTGCTGTAGTATAGGGCGGAGCGGAACCATATATAACATTTTGTGGGGTTGAACTAATCAAGAGAAAAGAAGCCCCCTTGGAAATCGCGAATGCAATTGCATTCCCAGCAGGACCCACATTGTTGGACGCTGGCTCCGATTGACCTGCGAAGGACTGTGGTGAAGATTCGGGAGGGTTTCTTCTAGTAATGGGATAAATGAAGTTTCTCCAACGCAGCAGTCTCTCATTTTTGCAAAGCGCCCCCTTCACGATGCATAGGACTATGCTGGTACGCCAGCATTTTGATTGCAGCTTGCAAGCCTTTGGCCTGAAAACTCAAGAGCGCTCCGGATGTCAGGAACCCTTAACATCCCTTAACCAATCAATTGTATATAGGCTAATTGGCTACAAAAAGAATTCTCCAACATTTGAGTATCAAACCCATCATCCTCAAGTGCTCTCCAGCTTTGAAAAGCAAGGCCCAACAATTCAACTAAGACAGATCCTCATTCCTGCCCTTGGCAGGATACCGCAAAACCCGACGTATGATCTCGATGGGCTTGCGCTGGGGATGAAGGCCGCGTGGCTGTCCTGTATAGGGGTCATTCTGGTGAGATTTTGAGGGGAAAGCTAAAGTATAATAGTATAGGAACACGCAGTGATCAACAGAGTCTCCTCAGTTCTTCTTGGCTTTGGTTTTTGCAGACGCTTTACCTTTGCCCCCTCCTTTACCTTTACCTTCCTTGCCCGAACCCTTTGTAGTGGCTGGCTTCTCCTGTCAAGCAGCCGCAGCCGCAATCAAGCCTGAAAGACCATGTTCATGACCCGTCCAGGTGCCTTCTGGTTGGCCCGGAGGAGCGTCCTGGGAAGGGCAGAGGGCACATAAGAATTCATTTGGGGTTCTGTGGAGTCTGGGGTGCACACTTTTTGATCTTCACATCTTCCAGAATCGCCCTGCTTGACCTTACTATAGTAAGGGTTTATAGGGTTTAGGCAATCTCTGGAAATTGCACATGTACCGCTGCATGCTCAATAGGCTGCATACGTCGTCTCGAGTTGCTTGACCTTCGCCTCAAGCTCCTGGATCTTCCTGAAGGGGCAAACCACAAGTAGGCAAGGGCTGTATTCACAGCTAGATTAGGGTTTAGGTTTTAGGGTTTTGGGCTTCAGGGAGTTGTAGAGAATATTTTAATTGCAGGTGAGCTTCGCTTCTGTGGGGTCTCCATGGCCATCAAAGTATGACTTCAAATCAGCAAGCCCATCGTGCAGGCCCATGAGCTTGCGGCCAAGCTCTTGAAGCTTTCCATACGCCCTTGGTTACTCACACATCAACAGCCCCAAACATGGAGGAAAACCTCAACAAGATTTGAGATTGTGCCCACAATTGAACCAAAAGACGACTTGGAGTCCTCATTCTTCAACTCATGCAATCTTTTCATCGTGTCTTCCAATCTCGACTTCGTGCGCAGGACATTCGCAAGAACTTCTCCCACATTTTCGATGGCCTGCGCGGGACCCAAAATATCAAGGGGTTGGATGGGCTGGAGATTTATGTGCTTGCATAAACCTTGGGCTCAGGTGTACCTAGCAGGAACCATGAGGGTATAGCAATATGAAGGGGTTATACAATAGAGGGCAAGCAGTTAGTTCATAATTGGTTCACTTCATAACCCGAATCCGCATGCCTACACAAACCTTGTTCTACACTCCTTTTACAAGCTTATATATAATCCTACATGGGCCCTGATATGTACCATGGATAGATAGAGTAACCACCCATAAACAAGCATTTAATAAACCTTCGACTACCCCACATGAATCCTATATAAACCCCCTTATCCTTTTAAACCCTGAACAGGCATGCCTCAAAGGCTCGCTCCTCCTGAACCTCAGCCTTGCTCGCCTTCTTGGGGCCCTTGCTCTTCCCCTTGCTGCTTCCTCCTTCCCCAGAAGACTCTGAGCCATCCTCATCATCATCTTCATCTCCTGAGAGCTCCCCATTGGGATCCTCCGGGTGGCCAGCTTCAAGGCCAAGAACGAAATTCTCGGCCATCCCCTCCACAGATGTGGAGTCTTTGATCTCTTCCTTTTCCGTAGCCTTGAAGGTTCCAAAGGTCTTCACATCGACCCAGTACTCCCACACCTTGCGATTGTACTTGTATCGCCTGGCGAATCCCACACAATGCTCACAAACTGCAAGACAGACTCATGTTTGCACAAATCGGGAGATTTCATGCCGAGGCGCCGCATGTGGGTCCTGGCACGCTCCTTCGCCGAGCAGTAGGCCACTGCCCCTTTGATGGTTTCCCTGAGCACAAGATAAGGCAAGTATACCACACATTTGAGAGGTTATAGGGGGCTTGCCACACTTTGGGGGAGAGTAAGATTGCCAAGAAACTTGTCCCATCCAAGAATGGTCTTCATAGTTGCTTTTGTATACCATCCCGATTCAATTGTGAGATCCTTGCTTCGAGCCATCGTTCTAATGTGCTC